GTTAAGCTTGAAGAGAGGAAAAAAGAAGAAGAAAGGTAATCTGCAGATAACAGAACAGAAAGGAAACAAATATCAGAAAAGCAGGCACGTACATTGGCACCACAGCAATCCTAAGTGATACAGAGCTTAGACACGGGCATTAATGCCAAGAGGCTGAAGATGTCATGTGTGTCCAGGGACAAGCAACTTGGTTTGGGGCCCATGAAAGGAAGGTAACTAGAGCCAAGACCTTTGCTTAAAGAAGAACTCTGAAGAAGTTGACCCCTTAGTTTAAGGACTAGAAGACTGGCCGAGGAAGTAGCAAGAAAATTTTTCTCGCCCTGGAGCTCTGGATAGAAGGAAGAGTATTCTTTGGATTAAATCCCTAAACCACCCCCACACACACAGCTTGAATCTAGATCACCTGCATGGCACAGGAATCTCACACCAGGAAATTAATGTAAAAGCTGATCCTCTGGATGTTCACTAGACTTAATGTGGTGATCATTTTGCAATATATACAAGTATTGAATCGTTATGTTGTATACCTGAATATACAATGTTATATGTCAATTACACTTCAACAAATGTTTTTTTAAAGCTGACCCTGGACCAGCAAAACCCCTGAGCTATTCTACAAAGATAAACACAATATCTCTCCTGGCTGAAGATGAGCTCATAATCCCAGTAACAAACCACATGAGGAAAAGATCCATTTATAGTGGATATGTGCTTTTAGAAGAACCAGCAGAAGAATTTCAAGTAAGAGAACAATCTGAGGCTATAAAATAGTACAGGTGTAACTATTAAGGAGATAAAGTAAGGACAAAATTCCTAATAAAATGATAGAAAACCTAGGGGAAAAACAGGTAGATATGAAAAGGTATCAATTAGCACTTCTAGAAAAGAAACAATAAATCATAGCTCAGTGGAGCTACAACTTAAATAAAAGATAAGGCATAAATATGAAGAATTGGTTAGCTGGAAAACAGTCCCGAAGAATTACCCCAATGACTCTTAAAAATATTTTCTAACTGAAAAAATACATATATACAAAGGTAATAGACATGAGGAATAAAACAAGAAGGTCCAACATATATCTAATAAGAATTACAGAGGAAAGAATAGAGAGAATTGAGGCAAGATAACATATGAAGAATTACAGAGGAAAGAATAGAGAGAATTGAGGCAAGATAACGTATGAAGAATTACAGAGGAAAGAATAGAGAGAATTGAGGCAAGATAACATATGATGAGACATGCCACAAATGTGTAATAATTCAAGAAATTTAAGAATCACCTGATTAGATCATAGGAAGACCCAAGGAGAAAAAGTAAAAACAAACCCACATCTGGGCATACCATAATAAAACTGCAGAACACCGAAGACAAAGAGGAATCTTAAAAGCAGCCAAGAAACAATCTCTGATTATTAACAACAGAGGCTGGAAGACAATATCTTCAAAGTGGAAAGAAAAATGATTGTCAGGGCACCTGGGTGGCTCAGTCGCTAAGTGCCTGCCTTTGGCTCAGGTCATGATCCAGGGTCCTAGGATCAAGCCCTGCATCGAGCCCCATTTTGGGCTCCCTGCTCGGCGGGAAGCCAGCTTCTCCCTCTCACTCTCCCTGCTTGTGTTCTCACTCTCGCTGTGTCTCTCTCTGTCAAATAAATAAATTTTTTAAAATCTTCAAAAAAAAAAGAAAAAGAATTGTCAACTTAGAATTCTGCTCCCAAATAATCTATTATTCAAGTGTTAGGATAAAATACAGTTTCAAACAAACAAACAAAATAGATGAAGAGATATTTATCATTTGCATATGCTTGCCAAAGAACTACTTCCATAAGAAGCAATTTTAATCCAGAAGGAGGGAAAGGGATGCAAGAAACTCTAGTGAGCACAGAAAATATGGATACGTTTAAATAAACATTGACTATGAAAACAATCCAACAACAACAAAAAACTTAATTACATAAAATGACACAGTGCATGTGAAAAATGTGGTGGAACTATTATGCCACAAAATATTATGAAATACAGAGTATGATCAGAATTATAACTTAATAAGGCCCTTATACTATGCAAAAAGAGAGTAGATATTTTGATTCATTTCATCACAAAATCTGAATGTTAAAAACAAAACATGCCTACTAAAGGAACAGAAATGGGATATATAATGTTGAAATCATTAGATGGAAAAGAGACTAAAGACACTGCAGATCCAATAAAAGGAAAGAATGAGAAAAGGAGGTACAGAAGGACAGCAGATATATAGAAATGTTTCCAATGAGAAGTGGCACTACATTTTAAAAGATAAAAGATTAAAACTGGCAAAATGAATGCGCATGGAGATGTTGTTACAGGCTGGCTTCCCCAAGGAAGCCCACTCAGAGACAAGTTGGGTATACAATTTTATTAAGGACCGCCTTGCTATCAACATCTAAGAATGGGGAAAGAAGCAGAAATGGGAAATGTCAAGCTGCAATGCAAATCCCGTAGGGAGTTCCAGAGCTAGAATGGTCCTTCAGAGTTGTCTGGAGTTGGGCTGAGATGACCAGGCCTTTATACTCCCACATGGATCAGCCACTGGGTGTGAGCTGCCCGGGGAAAAAGACATGACCTTGGACAAAGATGCTTTCTACAACTCAAGCAATCCCCTTTAAGGACCCTTGCAGACTATCTGTTGACAGCACTCTCAGAAGCTGGGGCAACAAGCTCTTCCTTCAAGAGGGATTTGGCACATCAATGTCTGCCATATCACCATAAGGTGACCCCAAAAACCAGTGCTCTAAGAAACCCATATGTCATGTAACCAACAACAACCTCACACCTTCTACAAACTCTGCTCCTCAGATTTTTCTGGAAGGAGCAATGAATTTTTATGCCATAATAATGAAAGGTAAATCCAAATTACCAACCCCTAAATCTTTCTAACTGAAGACTACATCATGTACCTCTTGCTCCCTAACCAAAGTCAGCCAAATAAGATATTAAGAGCAACATGGGACTCTTTATTCCTTCATAATTTTAAATCTTCAGTTTATAAACCAAAATGAAAATGTCATTTCTGTGTCTAATATTTTTATGAAACATGAATCCTTACTTGTGCATACCATCATTATTAAATACCTATCTCCAGACAGGTAAAGGACACCAAGATCAGAAAACTATATATGATTGATTTCTTATTCCTCAAACCAGAACCAATGCTATTCAAAAGAAATTAGCAGGCCCAAGTGCCCCCTAGAGAAATTTAAGATAATTCATCTTTGCAAAATATGTCAAATTAGAAATTAAAGCAGATTGAGTGGAAAAAACTATATAAGTAGACAAAATGCAAAATTGTTTAGCTCACAATCATAATAAGGAATATAGAGAGATGATACATATATAGATAGCTTCAATGTGTCAATCATGCCATTACAACAATTCCAGTCTAACAATTTTACTTATTTTTTGTAGTTGGCATGCTGTTGTTTAAAAAGAAAAAGAACAGAAACAGCCAGCAAACATGTTACTAGCCAAGTCCTGTAAGTATTGATTGGAAGAGTTGATCAAACCATTTTGATGCCTAAGACACGTGTTGATAGTAAGGGTTTCTCTGTTGGGATACCAGAAGGTAAATGAAGTGCCCTCAGAAGGAAGTGCAGCTGAATTTTCTTCTACCTGAAGTGAAATCATTTGCCTTATCTATCTTCTTGTCAATTCATGTACAGATATATTCCAGACTCCTGCCTATACCTCAGGCCTAGGTAAAAACACTTTGAAGTCCCCAAATTGTTTTTGTTTTTATGAAAATTATTGGCATAACAACCAGCTTTTAGTAAAAGGAAAGAGGGGTACATTGATGATCCACCAAAAAAAACCCAGCATCAATACTTTTTCTTTTAATTTAATGTGACTTTTATTCTTACACTGTAGCCCAAGGCTTTCAAATAGCTGGGAATCTCTGAATTTAAAAGATGGATGTATTCAAAGAACAGTTATAGCTCATTTAGATCTAAGAAACAGAATGCATAGATTTACCATTGCTGTTTAATAGCACCATTACATGTGATGTAAACATAATGTAAATGTAATATAATTTTAGGTGAGAGTCTCAAAGTATTTCTTAAAAATTACCCCAGGCCTGTGTGTATATTATATATGTATATTACACTATATATAATACAGTATATGTTATTTATATACAAATATTTTCACCTTTAAAATGAACCACAACGTAATTAAGAGCTATTCCTCTGTGCTCTCTTCTTTATACTTGCTTTAAATCTATTGACTACAGTGGGTTTGTATTTTGTTTGAAGTACGGCACATGGGGGGGGTCTGTGAAAAAGGGCAGGAAGGAAGCAAAAGAGGTACATGGAAAAGGAGGGATAGCAGGAAGGAAAGGGAGGAGAACCCGAGACACACACACACCTACACACACACACACACACACACACACACACACATAGCTCACAAAGGGCCAGGCCTTGAATACATCCCAGCACCCCTCCCCAACCCCTCCCCAAACATGAGACAGGGCTTCCCAAAAGTTCCTGGCAGAGCCTTCCTTGTGCTGTGGCTTAGGTGCGTCCCACTTGGTGCCCCAGACACCGGGACGCACAGGACCTTCCTGGGGACGCAGCCCCAGCAAACTCTTGGTACTTCAGGCTCCCTCCCGCGCCCGCCGCCCGCAGTCAATCACTGGGCACCGCGCGCCAGTCCACCCACTCCTAGGCGAATCCTTCTGCCTCTCTCCATCCTCCCTTAGCTCTCTTCCCCTGCCCAGCGGTTTGCCAAGAGGTTCAAAGGCGGAGGCAGAGGAAGAGAAGGAGGGAGCGAAGAGGAAGGGCCGGTTGGCGGATTTCCTACAAGGGGCACCAACGACGCCGTCAAGGCGACCACTCTGGCGCGGCCCCATACCCTCTTCGCCCCCCATCGGCCCATAGTACCCCACACTCTCCATTTCGGCTTCGCTGTTTGATTGAAGTAAGGCAAGGAGGAAAATAAACCCGCAGCCTCCTGGGCAGCCCTTACCTCAGGCTGCCCTCGCGGAAGCCGCCCTCCTCCTGCCCGGGCCACCGCTGGTGCACCGCCGCGGCCCCGCCCGGCTCAGCTCGTCCGTGCAGTGCGCTCCCCGGGGCACAAGAGCCGGCGGGGGACGTTCGCGCGCCGCTCGCGTGCCGCCCAGCCGGCGACTAGGAGCCCGCAGCCACCGAGGCGGGGC